GGGGGGGGGCTGCATTGCATCCAGCGGCCCTCAGGGAACAGTTGCTGCACGCATGGCTAAAACCCTTCTAACAGGCTATTACTTCATCTCTGAAGATCTTTGATGGGGAGTGATTTTCAACATGCCCCAAGAAACCATAATTCCATTTAAAGTTTATAATACAGTAAAAGTCATATTGTGTGTGTGTAGTTCTGGATTTGAACACATCTGGATTTTTGTAATTACCATGCTGACCGGGATTCAGAGCTGTTCCCCCAGCCCTAACATGCCCTGCAGTTCCCTTTTACATGGGCCGCGAGGGGTGAGCATCACATAGCCAAACTTCAAGCCCTGTACTGGGGTAGTGCCTTCCAGTTTACACAAGTAAGATTCTTTGCCTTTCTTTGCACCTGGGAACCTCTAGTTCAAGGGTGTGTGTGTGTGTGAAATATTGGGCTTTCCTCCACTTCTGCTTCTCATTCTATAGGAAGATGCCCAGTCTACCCAACCGAGCTGGTGTTTGCTCTGGACCAGTCCTACGGCATCACAGAACAGAGATTTAACAAAATCCGGGGCATCGTCACGTCCATCGTCAAAGACCTGAACATCAGGGAGAATAATTGCCCGGTGGGAGCAAGAGTGGTCGTGGTTTCCTATGACTCAGACACCAGCTATCTCATCCGCTGGTCTGACTATCATAGCAAGAAGCAACTCCTCCAGCTTCTTTCTCAAATAGGATATCAAAACCCCACAAAGCCCCAAGACATTGGCAATGCCATGAGGTTTGTGGCCCGGCATGTTTTCAAACGGACTTATGCAGGGGCCAACGTGAGAAGAGTGGCTCTGTTTTTCAGCACCGGTCAAGCAGCCAACAAACTCTCCATCATCACTGCCACCATGGAGCTGAACGCCCTCGATATCAGCCCGGCAGTCTTCACTTTTAACGAAAGAGATTTCCTGGATGAGGCTTTTGGGGTAAGAGCTTGCCTGGGCAATGTCTTTACGTTTGAAGGATGTGGTGTGGGTAGGGCAGGATGGGCACAGGGGCAGATATGGCTCATGTTGATCTCTCTTTTCACTTTTTGGCGAGTTGTTGCCAAACCATAAAGCCCGTTGCCATTGAGTCTACTTGGTTGGTGGATGGGTCAGAGTAGAACCGCCCTTGTGGGGGTTCCGATGTCTTGAATCTTATAGAAGTAGATGGCGAGGTCTTCCTTTTCCAGAAGAGCCCGGGGAATTTTTTCTTTCTTTCTTTCAATTAATCATTTATTGGGGCGGGTGGCTCTTACAAATCTGGTAACAATCCATCATTCAATCGTAGTAAGCACACCTGTACATATGTTGCCATCAACATTTCCAAAACATTTACAGCTGGATAAATTTGAGCTGTGGATTTCTTAGTTCATTGCTGAGCACAAGCTGATGGGTCACCAGCGTCCCTGAAATACAGTAACTAATATTACCAGCAGTTGATCAGGTAGCAACAACATTGGCTGAGCCCTCCCTTCCTGGGTCAGACACTGTCTCAAGAGCTTCACATCTGCAGTCAGACAGCCTCGCAATCCTCTGAACTGAATACCTGGGCTCCAGTCCACCTATGGGGAAATGGAAGCCCAGAAAGTTCAAGTGGCATCCGCTTTGGCACATCTTGGAAGTGGCAACTCAAGATCCAAACTCGGGTTGGTCTCGAGTCAAAGGCCACGAAGATGGTGCTCTGCCAACTCCCTGCTGGCTGAGTGCCCCTTCAGAGTTGTCATCTATCACAGTAGCTCATGAACACGACATGAAACTCAGGAGGTCTTTGAGCCCTGGAAGTTGTACAAACTTCAGTTTGGTGTCTGTGAATATTTCTTCCAACAGAGAGCCCGCCACTTGTAGATCCACAGATTCTTAAATGGGATCTCTCCTCCCGGCCTCCAAAAGCCAAGAAACTCACCATCCGCTTTTACAATCCAGTTATCTAGAAAACACATGACGCGGGAGATAGACAAAGCCGTCCTGTCATCTGACGGGTTATAAAGATCTATTTCAAAACTAACCAGAGTTTTCTTCTGTAGGAAGAAGATGCCCCCCACCTTGTAGCCTTGTAGCCTGAAGCAAATTAATTTGCTTGGAACACGTTCCAAATTTATTTTAGGGCAACAGGTAGCAAAGGGTGGGTCATAATCGAGCCTGATAAAAAGGGTGGCAGAAGGTCTTGAAATGGTCCATTTCTCTTTTTGAAGATAGTCTTCTTCCGTGGGAGAAACAAACGCCATTTGAGATTTGAGTGCTGCTTCAGCTTTGAGCCTAAGCAAAGTCTGAGGGGAGAACCAAGTGTCATCTCTTATTTATTGGACCATGCCCAGACTTCGTGAAGCATCAATGGAAAAGAGCCACCAGCCGCGCTTGGTTAATCAATCATTTCTGATTTGCACCAGCTCTCTGCAGAGTCACTGACCCAGGAAGCTATCCACTGCTTGTCACCTCCCCTGTCGCCAGATGATCACCCCGCATATTGTTCTGATCATGGATCATGCTTCAATAACGGTCCCTGTGATCATTTCTTGTGCATCACTCACTGTCTCTGTACTTCTTTCCACTCAGGACCTCTTCTCCTCCTCCCTGGTCTCTCTCTTCCTCTTTTTCCTTACCCTTTTCATCAAGCCCTGGCTCCTGAGCACTGAAGACACGGCCCATTAACTCTACCAGGGTTTTTACTGCATATGCTTTACCAACACTGGACTTCATCTATCAAGCTTTTAAAACTTTTGCCCATCCGATTGGTATATAAGAGCATTCCACTATTGTTGTTCGGATCCATATTTCTCTGTGAGGTTAAATTGTTAAAAATAAGTTTATTGACCATTTTTATTTTCTTGTGAAACTGCCAGCTCACATCTCCAGTATTACTTTAAATATTTTTTGTTTGCTTTCTGATGATCCTACTTTAAAAATAGTTTTCTTTTTAAATCTCTGGACCTTGCCTCAACTAGAATTTAAATTTCAGTATACCACCAATGTTCTAGAACTTTCTAGAATTTTGAAAGCTCAAGCAAGTTCAACTTTTCTACATCTGATTTTCTCTGAAGAAAAGACAGTTTAAAATGGCAAACCATGATCTTTTCTTTTGAAGTGTTGGCCCAAATGGGCACATTTACTCGGTACTTATAGTCCCCTAAGCTCTTACCCAGGAGGAGCTCTGTGACAGTGTTGGGTGAGTGTTGGACTGCTAGCTGTTAGGTCAGTTTGAGGTTCAAGCCTAAAAACCACTCAAAGGTGGAAATCTGTTCCCATAAGGATTTATAGACTCGGAACCCCCTTTAAGGGTTGCTATCAGCCAGGATGGACCCAATGGCAGTGGGTTCCATTTTGGGGAAGGTGCTACCCATTCATTGCTATTGAGACTCACAACAACACACTACAAGATAGAGTAAAACTGCCCCATAGAGTTTCCAAGGCTCTAATCCATTTGAAAACCATTTGATTGATAGCTAATTCACATGTACCATTTAATAGTTTGATCCTAGGAAGCAGAGTGGTGCAACCATCACCACAATCCATTTCAGAACATTTTCTTCTTTCTTATCCTTGTTGTTAGCTCCCTGTCTCCCTGTCCCCTATCTCCCCTACCAGGGCCCTAGGAAATGATTAATCCAGTTACTGTCTCTATAGATTTACCTCTCCTGGATTGCATATATTGAAAGCCTTACAAAGCACAAACAAGGAACAAAAACCAACAAACAAAACAAAAACTGCAATCGCAAAGAAAGCAGGAAATAATCAAAACGGAAACAACTTTAAAATGGGTCAAAAGGGAGATCAAATGAAAAGATGTTACATTTGACCTAAGGATACCTGCCACCATCACCTTTGCAACGCTCTCTGTCTGAGAGCAAGAACATGCTCATCCCTGGACTGTGGTCAGAGGGGATTCAGTGGAGGCTTAATCTGTGTAGGGCCCTGCAAGTGGGTTTTGGGCTTCTACCGTCATCCATGGGGCTATAAATCTTCACTGAAGCACAGGCCACATCTTTCTCCCAAGGAAGGGCAGGTAGATTTTAGTCACTTACCATTAGATGGCAGCTGAGGGCTTTAACCAGTAGGATCCTCCTAAAGTGTTCGAGCTGCATTATTACTGGGAGAGGTCCACTGCTTACTACAGATCTGTTCTTGCTTTGCTACCGAGTCTTTGCAACCAAACATTTTTTTTTAATAATAAAACTCTTTAACCCAACATTTCATTTTAGCTGTTTACTTATTTCTTAATCCTATAATAAATCTTCTAGGACAGAAAAATCGAAGTCAATATTTTCTGTCCTCATTACCTCTCATTGCTTCTTCAGAGCCTCTGCCCTAACTATTCCCTGGGCCTAAAACACTCCTTCCCATTTCACATTGAGGTTTTGCTTAAATGATCCTTTCTTAGTCGGTTCTATTTAAGATGTCACCCTAGACCTTCCCATCCTTATGACACGACTTTATTCTTTTCTATGAAATGTATCACCTCCTACCATGCTAGATGATTCTCTTATTTATTAGGCTCATGGGATGTCTCTCCCTGAGAGAATGTGCATTTTAGAAAGATAGGAATTTGTATTTATGCTGTTCTTTTCTGTATCCACAGCACCTAGAATGGTATCTACAGTACCGTAGGCATATCATAAATATTGAACGATTGAAGAGCATCATCACTCTTGTGAATAAAACTTGTTGTTTGTTAGGATACTGTTTAGTGTATCCCTGGGGGGAACCAACCAGGTCAAAACCAAATTAACGCTCCAACATAGCCAATTTCATTTCAAAGCGAGAGAGTTGTAATATAGTAAATACTCTGTGACCATTAGACTGGAATGGCTTTAACTCTTTCCAAGAACTCTCTTTCTGATCCTGTGATCTGCCAAGGGAGAGTGAGGAAAAGAGGAGCATTTAGGTGGATCGTGAGATGCCTCTGCCTGGCAATGATGGGTTTCCCTGTTATAAGAAGAGTGCCTGTTTTACACGGTGCCTTACTTACGGTAAATGCCCCTGAATGATTCCTGACTTGCTCAGTGAGTAACTGGAACCTGTATTCTGCCCACTTCAGTAAGGATGAAAGCAAGAGTATTCAAGAAACAGATGACAAACAGTAGGTGTCCAATAAGTATTCTGAGAAGACTTTGTATTCTTTGTCCGCTGCCTCTTGAGGTGGACTTTGAATTGAATCTGTGATTGGAAAAACCCACTTGCTATCTGAACAATGAACCTTCTACTACACATATGATGGAGGTGGAAATAGATATGATCACTACCAGAAAATGGTGCATGATTGCAGAAAGTTAAAAAAAATTCAAATGCAGGATTGTAGGGTTAAACATGTATGGAAAAAATGAGTTAGAAAATCCTAATTCCAACTTTAGACTGTGAATCTGCTACGTTTATTTTAGGTAATTTTCTTACAACAGAATTCGGGGGCTGGCAGTGTTGAGATCTGTTTTACGTACATCTCTGGGTTATTATCCGGGTTAAAGGGAGAGAGTTTGTGCGTGTGTATGGAGGCTATAATGCTCGGTATTAGTGACTAGTTGTGTGCTTTCAAACTAGTACTTAAGACAGATGCACAGTGGATTCCTAACTACTATTAGAGAAAATGAGAAACTCAGCTGCTTCTTCCTCTTTCGATGCAGTTTGACAACACTGGGACATTTCAGGTGATTCCAGTTCCCCCGGATGAGGACTATGACCCACTACCACGACTTCGGCCATGTACACTGTGCTATGGTAAGACGAATGAGAAGCACACTGTTGTGCTGAAAGGCTCAGTGTCCTTTGGCAAGCTAGCGAATCTGACTGTTATCAATGATTAACGTTTTTTATTGTAGGTTCTCTTGTCAAGATCCCAGTTTTCTAAGATCTATCACATGCCAGAGTTTCAATTTCTCTGAAAGTAAATGAGTCAGCATCAATTTAACAGTAGTATCTGGAGTTCTGGGAGAAAAGAAAAGTCTCCCAATGGGACATTTGGGGGCGGCCAATTTGGTGATTTGTATCAGAGCCTCAACTATATTGAAGCATGTTTTAAATGAGTTTCGATGTGACTTGCAGACTGTAGTGAGCCTGGGTGGCATAGTGATTCTGAATTGGACTGCTAACTGCAACGTCAGCAGTTCAAAGCCCCAAGCGTTCGACAACTCTAAGGAGTTATAGTCTTGGAAATTCACAGGGCAGTTCTCCTCTGTCCTTTGCTGCCATGTGTCAGTATCAATCCAATGGCAGTGAATTTGGTTTTGGGGGATACATGTTTCCTCCATCGCCTTTCACAAACAAACTTTCCAAATTATTTCCTGATGGCCACAGAGATATTAGAACATTGAAAATGTTTCAGTAACTTCAATGATGTAACACTGAAGAGGTATTGATCAGATTATGAATTCTTAGTAATTAATCGTGGGACCACTTGAAACAGCTCTCAAACAATAGCGTTTTGTTGTGCCAATTCCTGAACCAATGAGTCTCTCTGTGTGTTTTCAGATAAATGTTTTCCAAATACTTGCACCAAAGACGTTTTTATACCTGAAAATTCATATTTGGACATAGCCTTCCTCTTAGACAATTCTCAAAAGATAGCAACCGATGAGTTTAAGGCCATGAAGACACTGGTGAGCTCCATGCTTGACAGCCTCAGCATTGCTTCCAAACCCGTAACGTCAGCATCGGGCGATCGGATCGCCTTGCTGACCTATTCTCCTGGGGACAGAAGACAAAGGAGTGTCATGAAAACAGAGTTTGGGTTTACGCATTATGCCAGCCAAGTCCTGATGAAGAGACACATTCAGAATGCCCTGCACCAGCTTCATGTGGAAACCCCCATTGGCCGGGCTCTACAGTGGACCATAGAACATCTCTTCCCACAAACACCCAACTTAAGGAAATACAAGGTCATCTTAGTGATCTCAGCTAGAGAAAATCCTGAGAGAAAGGAATTCTTAAAGAAGATGGCTCTGAGGGCCAAGTGTCAAGGTTATATCATATTTGTGATTTCTCTGGGCTCTACCCATAAGGATGAAATGGAGGACTTAGCCAGTTACCCCCTTGAACACCATCTGATACAGCTTGGGAGGATTCATAAACCAGATCTGGAATACATTGTGAAGTTTATTAAGCCACTGATATACTCCATCAGGCGTAAGTAGTTGAGTTGTTTTTCTTTTTTTTTTATATGAAATGAGTGGTTTTGAATAATGTTAATAATCTAATTTATCTTAACATCTACAACTGATTCAAAATCATGAATGGGATGGTAAGATGAGGGTGGTACCTGGTACCTAGTTATACTCTGCTTATATATCAATCATAAAGTGGCGAGACTTTTGGGTGGTGGAGTCTCTTAGCCAAAATCTGATCACTGGCAAGGAAGCACAGAGTGACCGGGGGTCTCCTGGCCCACATTCCTTCAACCTTAAGAAGTTGAGGAACTCTTTGAAGATCTTCGGTAACATTCCAATACAATTTGCATCTGCATGAGCAACCTTAGAGCGCTCTCGAGACCGATGTGAGCGTGTAAAGATAACACAATCCTTTTACTCCCCGTAAAGAATCGACTCATTCAAATCACCTAGGAATCATCTTAGAGTTCAGGGCTGGGTCAAAGATATCTGGAGTAGAACCTCAGATGACGCATTTCTAACACGATCCCCCAGTAAAGCCAATGCTGCTGGTTCATGGGCCACACATTCATAGCAAGGCTCTAGGCCAATATAACCTAAGCCATCCTCTACATGTGGACACTAGTCCACAAACTGTTCATTACTGATCTGTGAACAGAGAAGGACAGAAAGGAAATATCTAGAAACCTTTAAAGAAATTAGGTGTCGCTGTGATCGGTAAGTGTTGTTGAACACAAGAGTCTATAAAGAGTGAGAACTAGAAATATGTTGTCGTTCACCACAACGATGAGAAACGCTTCCAGAGTAATGGTTCTTCTGCTGCTGTGGCTTTCCTCCCCCCATCCCCAGGAGAAATCTGACAATGTCTGGAGACGTGTTGTCCATCACAATTGGGGATACTACCAACATTAAATAGATGCTGCTAAAGAGTCTACATATGATGTCAGCCCCACTCCCCCCTCTGTCCCACCAGTCTAAACGTCAATCTTGCTGAGGTTAAAAAACTATGCTGGAGAGAATCCCACCAATCAGATTGAAGCTTTCTGAGAATCTTACAGGTTTCGAGATAGATTCTTCTAGATCCATTCCCACCATGCTAGAATCCCCCAGCCCACCACAAGGACAGTCTATTGAGGGTTCGCTCTTCATTGCGGACTCATTTCCTTTTTTTGTGGTTCGTATGCAACTGGGGGATCCAATCATTGTTTTCTCGGAACTCCTACTATATATCTGTAAGTCTGAGATGCCCCCAATGGTATGAGAAACTGCTATTTTGTGTACAAAGGAAGAAAAGAACTGCCTTTAATGAATTTTGCTGCATATTTTCCTATTTAAACCAAAAAACCAAACTCACTGCCATCGAGTCAATGGTGACTCATAGTGACCCCTCTGTGGGTTTCTGAGACTGTTTACAGGAATAGAAAGCCCAGTCTTTCTCTGAATAAACTGCTGGTGGTTTTGAACTGGGGACCATGAGGATCGCCACCCAACACATAGCCACTACACCACCAGGGCTCGCTGTTTTCCCATTTTCCTATTAGTATTTTTATTCTAAGCTGTTGAAAGAGTTTAAATTTAGCACAAATATAAAGTCTATGGAAAATTCCATGATGTTTTAATTTCATTTTTCCACTTGTTAAACTTTATGAAGGCTCCTCATATATGTGAAGTAGATTGTCTAAGACATTGCTAAGATAACTTCTCATTTAGAACTTAATACTTGTAAACTGTTTTCTGACTTGGCATCATCAACATCCACTTTTTTTTGCCATTCAACATCGTACTTTCAATGGAGTATCAAGTAACTGTTGATGTGGCATCTGAAAGACTATAAAATAACTCAAAACTGGGGAGTGCGAGGCTCTTCTGTGTCTTCACAACCCCTAAGCTCAAGCTTGCTTTTAACTCAACAGAAGAACAGAATCACTGCCTTCACACAACTCCCTCCACCCACAGCCACACCCCTAGTTCATGGGGGGTCAAAAGACTTCCCTGCTAATATGACTGAGAATTTTTCCCTGCTGACCCCAATTTGACAAGTTTTGATGCTGACACTTTTGAGGTTCCTGGCAATGATAACTACATCAGCGTGCCTGCCTTAGCAAAGCAAGTGTTAGGTGCAATTGATAACAGGTTACCTTCTCGTGTCAAAGAAATCAGTGGGGAGTGGGAAAACGCCTCTTCAGTCAGAGCATACAGGAATTGTAAGATTACAAACTTTCTCTGACACACTTTCCTGGAAAGTATTGCTTGTGTTACTCAACAATCGAAGGCCTCTTTTAACTAAAAATAGTTTATTTTAAATTAAATGAGAGGAAATGATACTTCTCAATTTCCCACAGTTCACAAAACAACAGGCACTAAAGTGGCATATTACTCAGATCTGTAAGCTACAAGACTTTCTATGACTCTTCTCCTAAGAAATTGGTGTAAATTGGTACAGAAACACATAATAGTATGATGTGACAAAGTATTAACTCTTCTAGTTTAGCTCAATAACATAGGTCTGCATGTAAAAGCTTTCAAGAATCAGAGTGAAATTTTTCTTTTGGCCTGAGCCTGTGAAATTATGTGTCCGCATGTCATCCTTAACCCTCCAGTGAAAATTTGAGGAGTGGTTATGTGTTGGGCTCCGATCCGCAAAGTCAGCAGTTCGAAACCATCAGCCACTTCTCGGGTGAAAGATGGGACTCTCTAGTCCCATAAAGAGTTATAATCTCAGAAACGCTCAGAAGCAGTTCTACCTTGTCCTATAAGATCACTATAAATTGGCATCGATTTGATGGGAGTGAGTTTGTTTTTTTCTGTCTTAAGGGACCTAGGTTTCCTTTTGTGACCTTGACAATTCTTTGGCTACAAAAGCACTCCAAAATCAAGTTTTGAATGATAGTTGTAGTTGCTCCCAATTGCTATTTTCACATCAGCTAAATCGTACTGAAATATTTTAGTGACATTTATTGCTTTGAAAGGGATACCTGTTGGGATTCTCTTTACCTAGCAAACACAATTTCCAGGTTAAACATCTAATCATAACTTCGATCTCTTAATAGGAGGATTTAATCAGTATCCACCACCGATGCTTGAGGATGACTGCAGACTCGTGGAATCAGAAGGAGAGGACTTTCGAAATGGCCAGCTCCAGTGAGTTGAACAGCTCTTACATTTACAGTGACGCTAATTGACAGATGGGAGATAACTAGCTGATGGCAGGTTGTTAGGTTGAAGAAGCTAATAAGACCTCTATAGTAAATACTCTGCACAGTCCATTTTCTGTAATAGAACTTTCATATCAAGCATGCTTACCTAATTGATGGTTTTAATAACATCTTCTTAAGTTGTACTATAATTTTGCATTTAAATTCATAGCTTTCTCAAAGTCCCATAAATCAATTTTATCTCAATATTTCATTAAAAAAAAAAAGGGAGTTTCCATTCAGTCAATTCTGACTCATGGTGACTGTATATGCCAAAATCAAATTCCGCAGGGTTTAGAGTGGCTCATTCTTTGAGACATAGTCAAGCCTTTCTTCCAAGGGGCCTCTGGATGGATTGGAACCATCAACGTTTTGATTAGTAATTAAGTGCTAACCACCTGGTTTTTCCACCGAGGGACTCCTCCAGAATGCTACCCACTATAATCGAGTTGATTCTGACTCACAGTGACATGATGTACGATTTCCAAGGCTGTAAATCTTTATAGGAGCATATAACCTCATCTTTCTCCCAAAGAGTGGCTGGTGGGTTTGAACCACTGACCATAAGGTTAGTGTTCCAGGGCTTACCCAACAGTGCCACTCCACTAAGACTCTCAAATAGAACGTATGATTTGCTTCATCTCACCTCAGCCTCCTTTACCATTTCTCGGTATTCCAGTAAAGTTCTGTTCCACACTCCTCCTCTTTTTGATGCATCTATTGAATCATTTTAAGACCCCAGGCACAACTTAATGAATGAGAAGACAAAGCAGAACCTCCAAAACTGTTAGGCTAATTGATTGGATTGACCTATGAAACCATGACCCTAAATTTTTGAACCATGAAAACACCAGGAAGTGTTTAATTGTACCTAAGTTGTTTCAAAGCATCCCTGGTGGCATAGTGGTTGGGCTGCTAATCGCAAGATCAACAGTTCAAAACTGCCAGTTGCTCCACAGGAGAAAGATGAGGCTGAGGCTGTCTACTCCTATAAAGAGTTGCAGTCTCAGAAACCCACCAGGGCTATTCTACTCTGCCCCATAGAGCCTCTATGAATCAGAATCTACTGGCTTGTTTTTTTGAATTACTATCGAAAGGTGCAAACTTTTTGAGGGGTAGAGGCCTACTGATGTAGTTGTAAAATTATACAAAACACTCTTTTCCCCCAATTTCCTCCCCTTTTTTATTTCTGGTACATAGCTTAATGGTAACAGCTACATTTACCTGGTTATGTAATTATTCCATTTAGTGGATGTCAATTTTCCCATCACAATACACAAAAATTCACCACATTCCAATGAGTTATTTCACCTTTCCTTCCCCCATCTTTGGCAACTACTCACAGTTATTTGTCTCTATAGGATTACTTATTTAGATAACATTTCAGACAATGGTTGTCTGTGATTGATATATGTAACTCCCTGTGCTGTCTTTGAAGTTCATTCATGTTAGAGCATGCATCAGTACTTCATTTTTCTTTAAGGCTCAGTGGTATTCCATTTTGAGTATCTGCCATATTTGTTTCCACCACTTGCCTGTCCGTTTGTTGAACTGTGGTGGCTTGTGTGTTGCTGTGATTATGAAAGCTATGTCACTAGTATTTCAAGTATCAGCAGAGTCACCCAACGTGAACAGGTTTCAGGAGAGCTTCCAGACTAATAACAGACTGTGAAAAAAGAATCGGCTGTCCACTTTGGAGGAATTAGACAGTGAAACTTTATGTATAGCAGTGGAGCATTGCCACGTACTGAAAGGCTCATGAATTGCATCGGAACCTTGTCGAAGCCAGTGCCAGTAGAGACCCTCAGGTAGCGAGGCCCTCAAAATATGACTGAGGAGGAGCTACCCTTTCAAAGTCGAGTCGACCATCATAGCATGTGTGGAAGAAACCTTCAAGATCTTCATTTGCTGACGGGGCACCACTTAAAGTAAGAAGAAACAGCTGCAAACATCAATGCATAATTGGAACTAGGAAATGTGAATTTAGGAAAATTGGAAGTCATAAAAATGAAACGAAATGTATAATGATTGATGACCTAGGCATTACTGAGCTGAATCGGATGGGTAGAGGCCATTTGAATCAGAAAATCACATGGTTTACTATGCCGTAAAGGATAGATTCAAGAGTAATGGCATCACATTCACCGTCGAAAGGTCATTTCAAGAACTATCGTGGAGGGCAGTGCTGCCCAGGATAGGATAATATGTATCTACCTACAAAGAATTACAGTCATTATAACTATTATTTAAATGTATGCACCAATTACTTAAGCTCAACCAAAATAGTCACAGCCCTCAAGCCAAGTCTAGCTCATAGCTACCATGCGGACCTGCATAGAATTGCCCCTGTAGTTTCCCAGAACCATAGCACTTATGGGAGTAGAAAGCCCCATCTTTCTCCCTTGGATCCGCTGGTAGCTTCAAACTGCTGACAGAGTGGTTAGAAGGCCAACAGGTAACCCACTACACCACCAGATGAAGACACTGAAGAATTTGATCAACATCTTTAGTATGACATTGATCAAATATGCAATAAGGTGCATTGATAAGTATTGGCTATCGGAATGCAAGAGTTGGAAACAAAGAGAAAGGAACAATAGTTGGAAAATACAGCCTTTGGTGATCGAAATCAAACTGGTGATCACATGGGGGAATTCACAAGACCAGTGATTGCTTTATCACAAATATTATTTTTAACAACACAAATGATGACTATCCATGTGATCGTCTCCAAAGGGAATACACAAATATCAAATTGACTACCTCTCTGGAAACAGGTGATGGAGAAGCTCAATATTAGCAGCTAAAACCAGACCAGGGTGGACTGTGAAAGAGACCATCAATGGCTTATTTGTAAGCTCAGGTTGAAACAAGAAAATTGAGACAAGTCCACAAGAGCCATAGTCTGGCCTGGAGGCTATCACACCTGAAGTTTGAGAACATCACAAGAACAGCCTTGGCACACAGAGCAGTAGTGACAAGCCCTGATGAGCTGCTAGATGACATCAAGAACACTGTTCGTGGTTGTCACTTCAACCTCGTGTGGGTGTTCTTCATCTGGGTGATGTGTCTGTGTGTTCCTTTTACCTGCATCTCTTTTAAGACTCAATAACTGCTCTCTTTAAATTAAGAAAAGATATATCATTCATGAAAAAAGGAAAAAGTCATTAAAAAGAGAGGGGGGGAAAAAGAAAAGATCAAAGTAGATGTCAGATCAGACTCTGAAGCTTGCACTTAAAGAAAAAGTAGCTAAGGTAAATAGAAGACAAGATGAAGTAAAAAAGCTGAATAGAAAATATCAAAGGGCAGCCGAGAAGGCAAAGTAAAATATTATATTGAAATATGCAAAGACCACTGTTAGAAAACCAAAAAGGAAGAACACACTCAGAATATTTTAAGAAAGAACTTAAACAAATTCAAGTCTTGGGTTGTAATATTGAAAGATGCTATAGGTAAAATAGGGAATGCTGCAGGAAGCATCAACAAATGGAAAAAATGCACAGAGTCACTGTGCCAAAAAGAACTAGTTGATATTCAATCATTTCAAGAGATAGCATATGACAAAGAACCAGTGCTACTAAAGAAGTTCAAGCTGCACTAAAGGCATTAGCCAAAAGCAAAGCTCCAAGAATTGACGGGATACCAATGGAAATGTTGCAGAAAGCTGAGGAAGCACTCTCTGGAAGCACTCATCAGTCTATGCCAAGAAATCTGGAGGTAGCTACTTTAGCTGATTGGAAGAGATCCATATTTGTCCTCATTCTAAAGAAAGAGGACCCAATAAAATGCTCAACTATACAATATCATTGATATCAAATGCAAGTAAAATTTTGCTGAAGATCATTCAACAATGGTTGCAGCAATACACTAACAGGGAGCTGCCAGAAGTTCAGGCCAAATTCAGAGGAGGGTGTGGAACAAGGCATATCATTGCTGATGTCAGATGGATCTTGGCTGAAAGCAGAAAATACTACAAAGATGTTTACTTGTATTTTATTGACTATGCAAAGGCATTCGATTGTGCTGTCCATGATAAACTATGGATAGCCTTGAGAAGAATTCTAGAACACTACATTGTGCTCATGTGGAGCCTGTACATGGATCAAGAGGCAGTTGTGTTAGCAGAACAAGGGAATACTTCATGGTTTAAAATCAAGAAAGGTGTGTGTCAGGGTTGTGTCCTCCCACCATACTTATTCAATCTGTATGTGGTGCAAACAACCAGGCAAGCTGGGTTATATGAAAAAGAATGCAGTATCAAGATCGGAGGAAGGCTTATTAACAACCTGAGGTGATATTCAGACGACACAAACTTGCTTGCTGAAAGTGAGGAGGACTTGAAGCTCTTGCTGATGAAGATCGAGAGTTGCAGCTTTCAGTGTGGATTACAACTCAATGTAAAGAAAATCAGAATCCTCGCAACTGGAGCAGTAGGTTCATCATGATAAATGGAGAAAAGACTGACGTTGTCAAGGATTTTGTCTTCCTTGGCTCCACAATCAATGCTCATGTAAGCAGCAGCCAACAGATGAAATGGCACATCGCATCGGGTACATCTGCTGGACAAGACCTCTTTAAAGTGTTGAAAAGCTGCTACTTTGAAGACTAAGATGCACCTGAGCCAAACCATGGTATTTTCAAACATCTCATATCCATGTGAAAACTGGACCTTGAATAAAGAAGACAGAAGGAACATTGATGCATTTGAATTATGGTGCTGACAAAAAAAAAAAATCAGAAGTCCGATAGACTGCCACGAGAACAAACAAATCTGTCTTGGAAGAAGTACAGCTAGCATGTTCCTTAGAAGCTAGGAATACGAGACTTAATCTCACAGACTTTAGGTATGTCATCAAAAGAGACCAGTCCCTGGAAAAGGACATCCTGCCTGATTCAGCAGAGGGGTAGTTAAAGAGAGGAAGGCTTGACCATGGGCTCTAACATAACAATTGTGAGGATGGTACCGGGCTATCAGTCTTCTTCCTGTTGTACGTAGAGTCGTTGTGAGTTGGAAGCAACATGTTGACACCTAATCACAACAACCATGACATTTGCTTATTCATTGATCTGTTGCAACGTGTTGGGTTATTTTCGTCTTTTTTGTTATTTTGACTCGACATCGCTGTGCCTGTGTTTGTCTGTCTCGTTGCTTTTATATCAGGAGGATGCAAACCAAGGAATGGACTTTCTGAGGCAGATGGTAATTCTCCACCACTCTTCTGTCAGTTTGTCAGACTGTGAGGGTGATTATATTGCTAGGCTACTAGAAGTCATGACACTGCTATTTAGATATCGGTAGGGTCACCCATGGTGGATAGGTTTCAGCAAAACTGACTAAGACTAAGGCAGATAAGGAAGAAGGACCTGGCAATCTATCCGTGATAAGCTTGGCAGGGCAAACCTTATGAATCACAGGAGAATGGTGTCTGATACAGTGCTGGAAACGAGCCCCTCAAGTTAGACGGCACTCACAACTGGGAAAGGGCTGTCTCCTTCAAGTTGAGGCGACCTTAAGAATGTGGATGGAGCAAAGCTTTGAGGACCTTCATTAGGTATTGGTGAGTTGAAATGGACTGGTATTAGCCATTTTGACTCAGACAAAAATATATGGTCTACTATACCAGAAATGACAAATGAACAAAATATGGCTTTACATCGTCAAAATGAGCATTTCAAGATCTATCCATAAGTACAATGCTTTAAGTGAAAGGATAATATCATATGCCTACAAGGAAGATCAATGAACACAATTCAAATATATTCAAATATATATATTATATCATACCAATCACCCATACCAAAGAGAAATTGAAGATTTTTTAACAACTTCTGTGGCCTGAAACTGATCAAACACATAATCAAGATGCACGGATAATTACTGGTGATTGGAATACAAATAATGGAAACCCACACAAAAAATACTTGATAATAGAAAATGGGACTTTGGTGATAGAAACGACTCCAGAAATGGCATTGTAGAATTTTGCAAGGTCAACAACTTATTCTTAAAGACACAATTGCTTCAACAACAAAAATAGTGATTATACATGTAGACTTCACCAGATTGAATACACAAGAATCAAAATGACTGCATCCGTGGAAAGAGGATGGCGAAGCTTAGTAGCATCAGGTAGAACAAGAACTGCAGAAGAGATAACCAGTCATTCCTAGGGCACTCCATGCTGAAGCTGAAGAAAATTAAACCAAGTCCACAAAAGTCAAAATATGACCTTGAATACATCCCACTGGAGTATATGCTGGGTATTCCTCAAGCAGAAAGAATTGAGAAAATATTTGAAATATTGAAGGATTCTGTGTGCAAAATATTGAAAGACACAAAAACCATCAAAGGAAGAGGGAAGGGGTACACAGTCACAGTACCAAAAGGAATTAGTTGGTGTTAACCATTGCAGGAGGGAGCAGTCGCCGCATTGGTGGCTCAGTGGTAGAATCCTCAGGAGGTAGCATGGGGTCAAGAACTGATGGTACTTAAGGAAAAAGTATAAGCTACACTGAAGGCATTAGGGAAAAACAAGACTTCAGGAATTCCCCAATTGAGATGTTTTAACAAGCAGACACAACCCTGGAAGTGCTCACTCGTCTATGTCAACACATTTGGAAGACAGCTCCCTAGGGAATCACCTGATGAGAGGAGATTCATTTTTGTTCTCATTTTCAGGAAAGCTGAACCAATAGGCTATGAAAAATAATCAATAGAATTATTAAAACTACATGCACGTAAACTTTTACTGAAGATAATTCAACAATGGTTGCAGCAATACATGACCATGAAACGGCCGGAAATTAAAGCCAGATTCAGAAGAGGCTGTGGGACATGGGTATCATGGCTGATGTCAGACGAATTTTGCCTGGAAGGAGAGAATAACTAGAAAGAGGTTTAACTGTGGCTTATTGAGTATTCAAAGACATTAGACTACATGGATGATAACAAACTACAGATAACGTTGTGAGGAACGAGAATTCCATCGCACTTAATTGTGCTCGCGTGGAACCTGTGCACTGACTAGGAGGCCATCTTCAAACAGAACAAGGGGGCATTGCACGGTTTAAAACCAGAATATACTTATTCAATATGTATGCTAAGCAGATGTTGCAGGAAGCTTGGCTTTATGAAGAAGAACACAGCATCAGAATGGGAAGACGACTCATTAACAACCCGAGATACGCACATGCTACAGCCTTGCCTCCTGAAAGCCAAGAGCACTTGAAACGGTTACTGATGAAGACCAAAGCCCGAGGAAGGGTAACAGTTTAACCTGGAGAAAACAAAAATCCTCACAACGGAACCAAGGAGCAGCATCATGATAGAGAAGATATTGAAATTATCAAGGGTTTCATTTTACTTTGATCCACAATCAACACCCGAGGAAGCAGCAGTGAAAATGAAAATCGAACAATGTATTTACACTGGGCAAATGTGCTGGGAGGGATCTTATGGAAGTGTTAAAAATTAAAATATGTACATTACTTTGAGGACTACGGTGCACCTGACCAGAAGAGTGAACAAGTGAACAAAGACAGCTCAGGAGAAATAGAGCCAGAGTGCTCCTTAGAAGGGAGGCTGGAGAGACTTTGTCTCGAGTACTTTGGGCCTGTGATCAGGAGGCGCAGGTACCTGGAGAAGGACGTCGATTTGGTAAAGCAGAGGACTAGTGAAAAAGAGTAAACCCCTCAAGGAGATGGATTGACACGGTGGCTGCAACCAGGAGCTCAAAAACAGCAACAATTGTGAGGACGGTGCGAGACCAAGCC